GCGAAACATAGCTAAACCCAACCATCACAAACAAAGAAATTATGCCACCTGGCTATGAAGTTTATCGTAAAGATAGACATGACGGTTATGGAGGTGTGTTAATGGCAGTAGAATCATGCTACATAAGTAGTATAGTAGATGTAGACATACAGAGCGAATTGGTTGCTGTACATATAGAAGGTATAGATGATAGCTCATACTTAGTCGTTGCTTCTTTCTACCGGCAACCAATCAGAGACATTGACCACACACGTTGTCTTTGTCAAGATTTAAAAGAGATAGCGAACAAACACAAAAAATCAACCATTTGGATAGGTGGAGATGCTAATTTACCAGACATAGACTGGCATTCGGACACGATCTCCAGCAACAGGTACCCAAAAGAGATAAACGAACACTTTATTTCAATCAAATCTGAACTTGGTCTTACTCAAGTTGTCAACTTTCCAACAAAAGATAATGTTACTTTAGAATTTTCTTTACAAACAGGTATTTTTTAATATCAAAAACCGATCAAGCTTAAAATTTTGATTTGGAAACAAGCCAATATTGATGCGATGCGCTCAAATTTATAACCAAATTAGCAGAGGAATTTAACTCTAAATATGCAGAATCCACAGATGTAAATTTTCTGTGGTCAGAAAAATGTTCAGAAGTAATGGAAGAGCACATACCATCTAAAATGGCTAGTCAGAGATTTAGCCAACCATGGACGGACAAAGAAGTAAAACAAATGGCAAAAAAACCCCAAAACTATATTATCGAAAAGCAAAAAAAAGTGGAAAAGTAAGAGACTGGAACAAATTTAAGAAGATAAAAAAGATGTCCAGTCAACCTGCAGAAAAACCTGTAACTCTTACATTTCAATATGTTAAGTGATGACAACACTAATAACCCCAAACGATTCTGGAGTTTCATTATAGGCAAACGTACTGAGTAAAACAGGAGTAGCACCCCTACATAAGGAGGGCATATTACACAGTGATACTGAAACAAAAGCCAATTCAATATACTAATCGACCAATTTACATCAGTTTTCTCATCAGAACAAGGAGGCGAAGTACCAACAAAAGGCAACAGCCCTTACTCATCTGTACCGGAAATAAATGTGCAACAAGCTAGAGTTTACAAACTAATAAATAACACCAACCAACATAAAGCGCTTGGTCCTGACACAATACCAGGGAAACTACTGAAAGATTTAGCAACAGAAATATCACCAATTATAACAACCATCTTTAATGCATCAATTAAACAAGGCAAAATACCAGATCAATGGAAAGATGCTCTAATAACACCATTATTTAAAAAAGAAGACAGAGGGAAGGCATCAAACTATCGTCCTGTATTCCTGACGTCGATTTGTAGCAAGATCATGGAACCTATACTGCATAGTTACATCATCAGTCATCTTGAGGTAAATACCATCCTGTCTGAAAATCAACACGGTTTCTGCAAAAATAGATCATGAGAAAGCAGCTTGCTATTACTCTACAAGATCTAGCAGATGGACTCAGCAGTGAGGATCAAATGGATTGTGTATTGCTAAACTTTTCGAAAGCGTTTTACAAAGTGCCACACCAACGCCTATTGAAAAAATGCAGCTTCTATGGTATACGAGGAAACACACTTCAATGGATAGCTAGTTTCCTTCAGGGTCGAACACAGCAGGTTGTTTCGATGGAAAGAAGTCAGAAACATCAGGCGTAACATCTGGAGTTCCCCAAGGAACTGTAATGGGGCCTCTACTCTTTCTTGTGTATATAAATGACCTGCCAGAACTAGTATTATCTAAATCTAGATTATTCGCAGATGATTGCTTACTTTACAGCAAAATATGTAAAGAGGAGGATACCATTTTACTCCAGAAAGACCTAGAAAATCTACAGAAATGGGAAGACACATGGCTCATGCAATTCAACCCTGAGGTACTACGGGTAACAAACAAAAGGAAACCAATTACCAAGAACTACACCATACATGGAAAGACATTAGAAGTAGTAAAGAACGCAAAATACCTAGGCCTTAATATCAGCCACAACTTATCATGGAATTATCATAACGGCACAGTAACCAAGAAAGCGAAGAACATCAATTCTTTCTTGAGAAGAAATATCAGCTCCTGTCCAAATAAGATTAAGGCACAATGTTATACCACACTAGTAAGACCAATTGTGGAGTATGCTTCACACAAAAAAATAAACACACCTAATTAAATGGGCATTTAAAAAGTCGGAATGCGAATACATATGTTCAAACTCTTTTAGGTCATTTTTTAGTAGCAACAAACAAAAGAGCTATGTCAATTGGACATGCTTTGATACTATATCTGCCCTTAATTTTTTACTTGATAACATTTTTGTTCGCTTTGGAGATTCCGTATATCGTCAAGTTATCGGAATTCCAATGGGAACTAACTGTGCACCACTTATTGCGGACCTGTTTTTGTATTGTTATGAGTTACAATTTATGACTAAAATCAGCAAAGACCCATCGAAACAACATCTGATACAAAAATTTAACAATACTTTTAGATATTTGGATGATACATTGGCTCTCAATAATGACGACTTCAGTATGTATACTAAAGAAATTTATCCTGTTGAACTTACTTTAAATAAAGCTAATACTAACAATGACCACTGTCCTTTCCTCGATCTTGATATCTATATCATTAACGGAAAGCTTAATACAAAAATTTATGATAAAAGAGATGATTTTTCATTTCCTATCGTTAATTATCCATTTTTAGATGGTGACGTTCCCTTGTCACCATCTTATGGTGTTTATATATCTCAACTTGTACGATTCGCCCGTGTATGTAACAACGTATTAGATTTTAGCGACAGAAATTTATGTATTACTGAAAAATTATTACACCAGGGTTTTCGATACATAAACTAGTCAAAACATTTACTAAATTTTATCATCGGTATAAGGATATCATTCGTTAATATAACTCAACATGCAGACATCTTATACGTTCGGGTATTTCACACCCAATCTTTTATGGTAATATTCTTTACAAAGCACAAAAATGTCAGAATTCACCTCAAAAGCTAACAAAACCTTTAAACAGACTTATTAAGAAGGGAAATAGTTACGATACTGTTGTCAGGTCATTAAAGATTGCATATTTTGGCTTTAATATTGATTCACTTATAGGGTCTTTGCATCGGAATTAAACATATTTATTCTAAAACCAGTTGTTGGCATGACACGGGTTATGTTCTTCTCATATATTTTATGATGGTATAATACTAAACCCCTAACAGGAGGGATTGTGCCTGATATTCATATGATGAAGACATAATCTTTCAATCAGTTTAATTGAGGTCTGGAGCTGGCATGTCAGTAACTGCTAGTAGTCTGTTGTTATTCATGTATTATTGTCATTTTGTTTATTTTCTTTTGTTTCTTATTCTGACATCGGACTCGGACTTCTCTTAAACTGAGTTTTACTGTGCGTACTGTTGTACGTTTGTTTTTCTACATTGGCTAGAGGTATAGGGGGAGGGCAGAGATCTCAAAAAAACATGTTTAACCCCGCCGCAGTTTTGCGCCTGTCCCAAGTCAGGAGCCTCTGGCCTTTGTTAGTCTTGTATCATTTTTAATTTTAGTTTCTTGTGTATAATTTGGAGTTTAGTATGACGTCCATTATCACTAAACTAGTATACATATTTGTTTAGGGGCCAGCTGAAGGACGCCTCTGGGTGCGGGAGTTTCTCGCTGCATTGAAGACCCATTGGTGGCCTTCGGCTGTTGTCTGCTCTATGGTCGGGTTGTTGTCTCTTTGACACATTCCCCATTTCCATTCTCAATTTTATTGTATCATGTGGAATCCAATAACTCATAAACATATCAGAGAATTAGAAATGGTGCCGAGAAGAGCAGCACGTTTTGTAACTGTCGACTACAGAACCACCAGTAGTGTAACCCAGATGCTAGAAGCCCTGCAATGGGGCGAATTACAAGAAAGCAGGAAGAGAGTAAAGACCATCATGCTCTACCGCATAATACACCACCTTGTTTCAATACCACCAGAATAATACTTAATACAGAGGGGTGTAGCATTTACAACAAGAGGAGTTGCCACCAGATTCCTACTACCCTACTCGATAATACAAAACCACCAGTAATCATGTTTCCATCTGCAATTCGTCTATGGAATGAACTACCATCTGTTATCGTCACAGCTTCCACATAGGAAGGATTCAAAGACAGCCTCCAGACACTTGCTTCATGTAAGACACTTCAGTTTTCATTATATATAATACCATGATGACTTTTAACCGGATTTGTGTACATAGTTTGTTGGAAAGATGTTTCCTTTGGGCATGTGTAAATAGTCATTTGTGATAATACACCAGAGGTGTAATGCAAATTAATGGAAGAAGAAGGAGAACATATTAAACACATATTTTTTCTCAATTAAGTAATAACAAATCTTACAATTTCATTCGTCAAGTGAACTTTGCTATATTCTTAAAGATTTTAGAATCGTTGATTCTAGAAGAAACACACGACTGACGTCACATAATAGTAAAAGTGGAAAAGACGAAATTGTCTCTTCGAGAATTTTTCGGATACCATCATGATTTGGTTGGCCATTACGGAACATCTGTATCCTCAACATGTACAGAGAACCAGGGATATGTTCATCATGTCGTAGCCACCATCCTATCCTCTAATGGGACAACTGATTGTAACTTTTTAACACGACGGGTGCCACTAGTGGAGAAGCTGCGCATGAGTTTACTCCGTTTTTTTTCCGGAATTCATATTGCTCAATCTTGAGTTTTAATGTATTGTTATATGGATTGTTGTTTTTGTTTTCCGTTTATCGTTTAGCCATGGTATTGTCTGTCTTCTTCGACTAATTGTTTTATTGCACCCTTGGTATCGTCTCTTCCCTTCTTGAAAGTCCTTATGTATATCACTTTAATTTATAGTACAATATGAAATAAATGCTTTAGCCATGAAAATCTATTTTGATCTAGAATGTATGGATAAATGGAAACAATCTCATTGCTGTAAATATGACAGAGTGTATGAACCCTTCTACCACAGTTACACCCGTGAAGAGTTCTAGTGATCGTATCCCTACAGCAAGTGTGCAGACGACAACAGATTTTGGTAAGTTTTTGTGTTGTGAAAGTTTTCCTATGCTACACGTGCTACAGAACATATTCTAGTTCAAAAGTCAAATATCTGAAACGAGATTATAGAATGAGTTGTTGACTGCTTTATCATTATAAATGATGAAATAAATTAGAATAGTGTACTGAAAGAGGAAACGTAATATGCACGAAATAGTTAAAAAAATGAAATTTGCATGACAACCAAACTAATTTTGATATATACTTTATTCGCTACTCGCTACTAATAAAAAACCCATTTATCGCCCTTAAACTTTTAACATTATTTTTACAATCAATGAATATTGTGATTATCATATTTGTTACTGTTTATTTTCGGAAATACTGTTTATTTTTATAAACTTTAGATTAAGTAAGACAATAAAAAAAAAATGACATAACATTTGTTATGACGAATTATATCCATTTTATAACAAGCAGAATGGCAGTTACTGGCGAAAGATTGCAAATACTTGTTCAGTAGTGGAAGATTGTTTCAAGGGCAGATGGGCAACACGATTTTCATGATGTCCAAATATATACCAAGGTCCCTTTTGGCCAATAGCTACTCAAATATTCAAGTATTTACACATCCTTGGCTTTGAGTTATTTTTTTCCAGCGTTTTAGAAAAGCGCTTCTGGAGTACTAATCTAATAAAGTGTTATTTTTATTTCTATTCGCAATTTGGGGTTGATGTCGGGAGAATAACACTCTTTTAAATCTCAGGCTAAGTTTATTGCCGAAACCAAAACTATTTTAAAACCAGAGTTTTAAATGAAGAATACATCAAAGGATGACCTTGGAGGAATTCAAAGTAATGCTATGGCATAGAATTTACGGATAACTTTTTGATTTTAAAACACATTACTGAATAATCGTTCGCTTGCACAAACTTGTCGATAGGTTTCAAGATGTCTTATTTGCTAATATGAGGCAGGTGTTACCTGTGAAAGTGGACGAAGTCCGTATAAATTATTTTTTGAATTCAAGCATATTTTAACTCCAAAATCTGTTAAAAAAGAAACGGAAATACGAAAACGTTTCCGATGTTGGTCCTGTTGTTAGGGATGTTAGATGTGACGTAATTTTCAATGTAAACTAAGAAACGCTATGATTTCATTAGTATGTTGATTTTTATATGGATTTTTGATTTTTAGTTTTATTGATTTGCTTACTGTTATAAGACACGTTCCCCATAATATTTTAATCAAATTCCGAATTAAACGATACCGGAAAAGATTTCTGCGCAGATGCGGGAAAATAAAAAAAAGTTAGAAAAAAAAAAACGATTTTGAGTTCATTAGTAGATTTTTTTTTTTTTTTTTTTTTTGATTTTCTACTGTAATTGGGGACTTCGTCCCCATATGAAGTCAGGATTAATACCAAATGATTGTACTTGTGATAGAGGTTATATTGCATATAATTAAGGAATAACTGTAATATTTTTTCTGTCTATGAAGAAATAACATCAAAAATGTGATGCACACTGAATAACCCGCGTAGCGGGTTATTTTAAAGTGTGCATCACATTTTTTAAGTTATTTCGAATAGACAGATAAAATATTACAGTTATTTCTTATAATTTAATTCTAAATTCTATTTTAAACCGGAGTAAACAATGAAAAAAACGTTGATGACGTCACGGTCACATGACTAAATTATGTCTATGAGCTGATAAACAAAACAACGTCAGCCAATCAGCAGACGCGTTACATCCAAAATTAAATTATTGAAGTATTGAAAGTATCCATATAACGTATATTAGACAAAGGAATTCATCATGCTTGCAGATAATCAATACACGTCCATATTTATGTGGGTAACGCGATAACCGGAAAAAGTCGAAAACATTGCCTGCGGGTTATTATTGAATTCATAACAGTGTGGATGAAACAATTTCTTGGCGCACTCAGTTCACCAATTGACTGGGTCAGATCAGGTAATCGTTCGTCTGTTACGCCCACTTTTAAATACGTTGTTTTTACAATGGACATTTAAACGTACGGGGTCGGTAAAAGGTTTCTCAACACCTTAAAAACAAATAACTCGAAAACAAATACTACTGGAAGTAACCTTGTGGTTTGATTTACATCGATTAACAGTGAATATTTTGATATTCTTCAAATTACTGATGATATCGCACGTTCTTTAAGTTGTAAAATAAAATTTAACTAGTTTTAGAAGTAACACTGAATGTTAGTAATTACCTTTTTCAGACTTATACAATTGTGGTTTCTAAAATTTGTACGGATCTTTGTATATTTCAACTTATATCTTGTCTAAAATTCTATTTTTAGAAAGAATGCATGATACACTTTAAATCGTGGTGCAATTAAAATTTTGAATTAAAAAAAATCTGTCGTACGATCTTTTTCTAACTTTCAATATACTGGACAGTAAAAAACTTCATGTATTAGGACCTAGCTCAATAAAATTTGCATTTACTTTATGAAAAGGAATCATTAAATTCAATACATAAATATTGCACATACAACTCATTTGTTCTCAGAGTGTGTTTTTTGTTAGGGGGGGGGGGGGGGGGGGTTATTTTTTTTAATTTCAAGTGTCGTATTTCTTTTTTTCCCTAATATCAAATTGAAATTAATAAATTTATTCACTTTCTTCTGAATGATTGAGGAATAATGTATCGCCCTGAAACATAACTACATTTAATCAAATCGGGTACACTACCATTTATGGATACTCTTACATTGATATACTAACGTTCCCGCCAACATAATTGTGTGTTTGAATAATAAAGAATATATTTGTTTGGCCTCAAAAAAATGACCGATCCATTGAATGAGTTACAATGCGCCCCTGGACTACTACGCACTTTACTGGAAACACGTTTTTTTTCGGTGACTTACAACTCGAATTTTCACAGAATTCATCTGACCTTTTCTTCTTGTGTGTCTACATATAGAACATAATGAAATTGTAGGATTTGATGTTTCTTAATAGTAATGAAAGAATGTAAATCATGACCTTAGTAAGGGTATGTCGTATTGTTTCTGCCTACTTGCAGTTCAAAACAAAGAATTTCTAAAAATAAGCTACAACTATCCCGAAGCACATTTATCAGCTTGTAAAGATTTGTGTTTGAAAATAATTAAAAGTTGAATTTTGAAAAAAAAAAAATCAAATCAAATAAAGTTGAAGTTCACTGGTACTGTAAAATTATAACCGTTATTGTTGTTATGTGAATTTCAACAACTTCAAAATTCTTGAAAAAAATATCAAAGCTATGTAAAAAGAAAGAATTTAGAAAAATCTTTCAAGTTTAATATAACTTAAATCTTTAGCTTTTACGCTTACCAAAATAAAAGTCAGATCACTGGATCCGCGGCTGGTAAGAACTTGTGTTTTCAAATATTCCGATACATTTGTAACAGGAGGTTGAATTAACCTTTGAAATTTATATAAAAAGTATTTACTTCTTCTTCTTCGTTGTGATCAACAAGGCTTGACTTTTGTCAAAGCAAAGCAAAGATCGGACTTTCCGTTTGCATCTGCAATTTAAAAAAAAACCCGCATGCAACCAAAAACGAAAGAAAGGCGAGCCATTAGCAAATAAGCTGGGTAGTCATTGCTTTACTCTCCGTCTTGCAACTAAAGGCGAATTTTGCGATGATTAAAAAGAAGGTCCAAGTATTATACCATCTATTACGAACAATTCTTGTGTGGATGACTTTGTCACATTTACCCCGCAACCGTTTGTCGATAGTTCCATTAGAGACGTTCTGAAACATGTTGTGAGCTCAATAATTGAGTTAAAGAATGCCCACGAGAATGATAAGTCTGCTTTACCGTGTAAAATCGATAATTTACAAAAACAAAATGTAAATCTTAATGATGATTTCAATTAACAAAAGGAACGCATGAATAACATTCAAAATCAACTGAATTTAGCTAAAACTGCAAATAATAAACTAAATGATAGATTAGCCTGTGTTAAATCGGAACTTAAAGGGGGCATAAGCTGTCAAATTCATGTTCACCGATTTGACTCAAATTCTTATATTCGACTTATTACATACTAAAACGCATATCGAAATTATAAAAAGTCTAAAATAAACAATTTACGGTGCAGAGATTCGATAGTATGTATCAGCATTTCGTGTGTATGTTAGTCTAGACGTCATCTAATTAACCATCGAATTGACCTCCGAAGACTGCCGACGGTCATATAGCCCGATTTAAACATAAACATAGATATAAATAGATTGCGAACTCGTGCAATTGGATTTTTCTAGGTCTGTTTGATTTCATATAATAGGTTAAAAAAATATGTTAATAATCGTTTTTACCTGTACGAGTTTTTCTAGATCGAACCAGTCAACCAAATGGTTTACATAGAAATAAGATGTGGTATGAGTGCCAATGAGACATCTCTCCATCCAAGTCACAATGTGTAAAAAGTAAACAATAATAGGTCAAAGTACGACCTTCAACACGGAGCCTTGGCTCACACCGAACAGCAAGCTATAAAGGGCCCCAAAATGACTAGTGTAAAACAATTCAAACAGGAAAACCAACCCTTGTCTCACATCCAATGTTTACATTCTTTTCCATTTAATAACTGAACACGCCTAGTTCATGCGTAATCCATCTCTAGCTATATGGATCAATTAAAGTTCACATGAATACGGATTCAATGAGGTCGAATTATTCACTTGCAAGTGAATAATTCATTAGCGATGTTTCTTTGCTTATTTTGACAAAACTGAACCAAACTCACGGTAGGTATAGTGTCCGGCTAGGATCGTGGTTTTTGGAGTGATTTGATCGTGGTTTTTTTCGAGTGTGACCACTTTTTGTCGAGTGAATATGATCAAAAATGTAAACAAACAGACTTACTTTCTGAAAAGACGTGATATAGAAGCTTGAGTTTAATATACAAGGATATACAAGGTGTGTTAGTATTTGAGATAAAAAGATATTATCAATCCGACATTATTTTTCGTTCAAAAAGTTGAATTTAGCCTAAAAATGCT